ATTCAGTGAATTTATATTGGAAAAGAAATGTGAAAAATCTAATAAAAGTTGGTCACGAATTTCTAAAAAAGTAGAAAAACTGGTGAATATATGGGCCCATGGGCCGGTCAAGCAACCCAATGTGTCTGAGCCTGGATTTGAAGGTGAAGAAGGACATCAAAACCTCTATGACGTGTCGTAATCTGAATCGCTAACTCCCAAACAACGTTTTTCGTTTTACCCAGATGTTGACTTTTGACTGGCCCCACACTTGACAGTACCGGCCGGTTTCATTGTTCTTCGTCAAGTCAACCCTGATCGAACGCCGGCTAACGAATCGGCGCAAGAGAGACGTTCGTGACGTAACGAAGGTTGTTCGGGGATATTATTGGTCCTAAAATTGGATAAACAGGTAAAAAATCCGAACCGATTTGTGTTTTTTTCCCTAGTTTACCGTCAAGCTTTTCGTGTCACTGACCTTAACAATATCTGCCTTGGAGTTGACAATTAATTTAAAATCCAGATTCCTTTAAATTTAGTTTGATTGTTTGCATTAATTTTATTATTATTATACAGTGAAATGTGTCTTTTACTGTAAGAAATGTTCTGCGTTGTACCATTTTATTTATTGAGAGCATTGGCTCGTTCTGATGTTATCTGCTAATTGTTCTTTTGTTCTGGTCACTTCTTTCTCAGAAAATGACATTAATCTTTAAACTAATAAATATAAGGAATTGACTAAGAAAATGTTCGGAAACCTCTTCGCAGATTAGTTGTGTATATATATAATAATTAAATAATAGTGTGTATTATCGTCTTGTTCTGTAAAAGAGAGAATTTGTCTGATCGTGTCTGTCTATAGAGAAAATTGGAGAATCCATGGCAGAGGCTACGAGTGACGATCCTGTTTATGTTGCAGTAAGCAAAGACGTTGGTGAAAGTAAATCGACTTTGTTATGGGCATTGAAGAATCTCCGACGCGACAAGCTTTTCCTTCTTCATGTTCATCAACAAACTCCCATGAACCCTACATGTATGTAACACCATCCCTTCTCTAACTTTGATTCTTCAATTTTTCATTTTTTTTTTGTGCTAAGAAAAAACTTGATCGGGGATGTAAATAATAGTCGATTTTTTTTTTTTTTAATCTGTTTTGGTACTAGTTTATACTTACTTATCAAGCATCTGATGGTTATGAATCAACAAAATTGGATGTTTTTTTTAACCTTGTTTGGCTTCTATATTCATTGGTGATGAAGTTTTATATTCATTGGCATCTTAAGATTCTTGGGATCATAGGAAGTAAGGTTGGGGATGGTTGCAGCTTTGTGTCTCTATTTGTTGTGTTTATGTGTGGGTGATGTTATATCAATCGAAATGATTCCTGATTACAGAAAGATCGAGCTTTAAGTTCCGCTCCTTTATTTTCTAATGTTTGGTCTTCTGTTTGTGGATTCCAGCTAGTGGGTTAGAACAAAGTGAGATCAGTGCGATTCAGGAGTCGGAACTGACAAGTTCATATGAGAGTCTTTACAAGTACCGTGATATCTGCGAAGAACAAGGAGTGAGTGCTCTTCCAACTCATGAGTACAATAGTGTCACAATAAGAAGACAAGAGGAATCTAAAGACATAGTCTTGTGGTTGCAAGAACAATTATTGATTAGAATCTATAGAGATTACCATTTAGTATGCATACATCGGGGATGTTATTGAATTAATTATGTTGCAGGTTATCGAAAACGATGTGGATATACACTGTATTCAAGCAGATAATGTTGAGGAAGGGATTGTGGAACTTATCTATGAAAACAATATTAAGAAGCTCATCATGGGAGCAGCAGCTGATTCCCACGACACCGAGTAAGGATTTCATCACAAGAGTTTTGTATGTCTTTGTTGATATTTCCTCTTAAAGCAAATGCTCATTCTGGCTATACGTCTTTGATGATGCAGGGGTATGGTTAATGTCACTTCTAGAAAAGCCAAGTATGTGAGTCGCCATGCACCTCATTGCTGTAAAATATGGCTTGTATGTAATGGGAACCTCATCCAAACCAGGTAAGTTGGAGGATTACACTTCTGCATGTTTGGTAGAACTATAAGGCTAACAGAAAATTTTCTTTGTCTTATAGGGAGGGATGTTTTGATCTCGCGGGTTCATCACACTCCTCCTCTGAATCCTTAAGCAGCCTTCACGACCTTGATTCTGCTCTGGTACCATACGAGGGAGCAGGAAGAGCTGAGCATGGCACCGATCCAGATGCCCCGTCTTCATCTGAAAACAGATCAGTATGTAAAATCCTTGTTAGACCAAATTTGTCTCATTGTCTGCGCTGGGTACTGAAAAGCATAATATGTATGTGTGCCTTATGGCTCTTTTTAACAGGCTAGAGGGTTTGAGACAATGTATTACGAGGAGCAGAGACGGAGACTAGAAATTGAGGAACTAAAGAGAGAAAAGGAG